CAGTCTCAATTTCAGATGGGAGATCAAAGATATTGTAATTTTAAATGTGCTATAATAATTTTGTATAAAAAGTTTTGTACAGATATATAAAAATTATCTAAAACTGCGAACCCGGATTTGAGAATGATTCTAACAAAATGGTGTCATATCAAAGGTACCGCTCGAGAGTCGCACTACTGATTGTTCTCTATTCGCTCCGTGCGCGACAGCAGCGCCAATTCGTTTTGGTATTAATGGACTATTTCTGTGTATACTGACAAATACAATTTTTAATATAATTCGTAATTAAAAAGTATATATGTTAGTTTTAATAAAAGTATATGGATTTGTAAAACAAGTAAAACATCAATTTGTTCTTATTATATATTTTTATTGCTTAAATTAAAGAAAATTATGTATAATCAATTAAAACCAATAATAAAATATAGGCAGGCAACAGTATTTACTGGAAAATGTATAAGAAGTTGCCTAAGTCTAATAAGTTGTCATTGAAGGATTAGTCTATTCTGTCAAAATAAAAAAAAATACCATTTAATAATAGCGTGAAGTTAAAATATATAAAACAAGGATCGTTATTTATATTTTCATTTTTGTTCGAAAGAAAACAGAATGAATGATTAAAACTGGTTTCCCATCAATTGCATTCCAGCCACATATAAGAATCAAAGGCAGAAATCTTGAAATCTAGTCCTTGCTGAATGAACATTTAAGAATAAAGGGATATTAAAGAACATCGTAAAATAATAATTTATTGTTTTTACCTACTTTTTTTGAAAAAAGTAACATGTATACGTGTATTTGATATGCCAAAATTACAAAATATCGCCCTAAAATGCACGAATTATCCGCAGCTAGCGCTAGTATCGCTTTTGCTTCCCTTTCCATGACTTCGCACAGAGCGAATATTATGATTGAGCTTTGTAAGCTTATTTTCCATTATATTTATGTTACTTCGCAACAGGTTTTGGAAGCGTACCGGATGAACTACCTTCAAATTAGTTTTTAAATCGCCTTTTGTGTCTGAATAGAAAATATTCAGCGAAAGAACTGCTTTCAATTTCAAATGATTTAGACATCGAATATATGCTATGTATAAGTTTAAAACTTTCTATATAAATGCCAATATTAGTTTTGGATTCTAGCACAGCGTTTGATAAACTATGTTCCACGGAATCACACATCTGCCACATGTTGCATTAAAACCATACTACTAAAACAAGCCAGAGAACATTATAAAAATGGTTTCATTTATAAAAAAAAATTAAAAATTATGTTGTTTTTATGCCTCTTTGGTCCTATTTTTTATTTATTAATCAGTTTATTATTGACTCATTGTTTCTGATTAATATTTAAAGGGCCACTGCAAAACCATCAAAGTCCATTTTTAGATGATTGCCATATTGCCTTATTTTGGTGTTTAAGCAATAGTATCATGTGAGAAAATATAACATTAAAAAAACCATCACGGTGTTTCTTTGAAATCACATACAAAAGAACGAGTCCATATATTATTTTTATTGTCCTAAAAAATTTTGATTTCATAGAACTTGATGATTTTTGCTGTGGACTTTTCACGTTTATTTTTATACTTATACTGTGTGTTTTTTGTTTTAGATATCACATTCTTTATTACGTCTGGGCGCAATGCTATCTTGGATTATGTAGCAACCCGATAGTCTTAGCCCGATAGTCTCAGCCTGATAGTCCCAGCTACTTCATATATTTTTTAAATATTGGATTTTTATGTTTTTTTTTTTTAATAAATTTATTATTTTTGATTATGCTTATTATTCAAATATTAATTAAACCTAAAAACCTGCAAGTCAAGTTAAGATTGGTTTACGTAACGAATGTTTTGCTTTATTATAGTGAATATCGATATAATAACGTAAAAGCAGAGTGTGTGTGAAGAAATCTTAGTTTACTGTAGATGAAAAATACAAAATATCTTAAGAGTACTTTTCCAGTACTAAATTGTTAATAATCTTGTGTGCTTCTAAAGCACTTTTCCAGCATTTGCAAATGATGGGGAGTTGTATGCCTGAATATCGTCGGCCGCCTGGACGCGGGGATGCCGGCAGTGTGGTCTGACACAAATGCTGTGCCGACACTTCAAGTATTGTTCACATGTATTGTGCCAGTGTTGGGCCATTAATGTGTGTTTACTGGACAAGGGCACTATACCTAGGAGCATATCAAATAGAAGAGGGAGATTTACCTAACTTGAAGCCGCTTCAAATCCTACACTTCCTTGAGAAGATTGGAGGATTGGAAGGGTCGTTATAGGCACTGAAAAATGTCCTTGCTGCATTAGCGACAGAAGGGAACACAATAGATCTTTTAGATCGCAGTGTATTAACACCCCATTCCCAATATAACATAACATAGGTAGGATTCTCCACTCCGACCATTCACTGTTGAGCCTTCCCCACCTCTGCCTTTTCAGATCTATTATGGATGCCATTAAGAAGATTAAATTAATTTAAATTATTGAAAGACCATGTTCTGACGTTAAAAAACAAACCTACTCTCACTCAACTAAAATAAATTTATTCTACAAGATAAATTACTAATAAAATTTATTTTCAAGTGAAGTGTCACACTTTACAATACGTGACAGTTTTTATCCCACCAGGACTCTAAAATCAACATATACGGAATGAACAGTCATATTGTTAAATTCCCTATAAAATTTACGTTTTCAAAGATGGGTCATAATTAGTAATTTTTATATTTAAATTGATTCGAGTGACGGTTGGGAGGGGAATGACGTGTGACAGTTGTAGATATTATAGAAAGGTGTCCCCTTGGAATTTAATCGACTTGTTCAAGGTTTTTTCAAAAAAAATAGTATATTATGCAACGATCATGTAATGATGGTTATTAATACACGAGCATTAACCGGGATACGAAACGAGCCAAAGGCGAGTTTCGTATGGTTTATGCGAGTGTTTTAATAACCATTACATGAGAGTTGCATACGCTATTTTTTCTACACCCGATAAATAATCAAGACCTATAAATATTATATTTATATTGGTATTGAACACAATAACAGTAATTACTCGTATTTCTATAAAAAATTCTACAAAATTGTAATTAATGGTATTACTTCAGGTATTGGTATTTCCCTAGATTTTTGCGGTAAAATATTTTGTACTGTATTTTCTGCTTTCTCCGATATGTGTGGAGGAGTCTTCTATATCGCTAATATCAGACATTTTAATATTATAATTATCGAAGTTTAGCTACCTACGAAAATTTAATACGTTTTGACAACTAAAATAATTACATAGGAACCTAGGACAAACGTCAAACAGCATGCTTGATTGAAAAATTGTAGGTTTCTATTGATTAAAAATCTGTATCGTAATGAAAAATCTGTATCATAATGGGTATCATTATGAAACGGATTATGGGCATATAAGTGCATTATTATAATACGGGTGTAGAAAAAATCTATTATGAACTACAGCTGCTGAGTTACAAAGGTACATACTGGTTATCCTCCAAGAAACGCATAAAATAAATAAAATCTATAATAAAATTTGACAAAAACGCAAGAACAAGACAATTAGGTAGTTTTGAATATTGATTTCTTTTTAGAAGAGTTTAATTTTTTTCTAGTCCGATTTCAGCTGTGAATTCATTTTGTTAAATTTTCTTTAAAAAATGGTGTGTCCAACACATAACTTTCCTGTCTTTTCTGAAATTATTATAGGCTTTTTATGAGTGTAAACCATGTGTAATCTAAATATTTACTAAGTGGTATTATTAATGAATATAATGAGAAAAAAATCGGAGTTTGCACTTAACCTGAAATGTTTCTATTTTATGCAATATATCTGTTATTTAAGCTTGAAAAGAAAATTCGTATTCTCTATTATTTTTGTCTTATACATAATTTTCCTAAAATGGACCCTATTTGAGGAAAATTGCAAATTTCGAATTTTGAAGATAACTCCAAAACGGATAAAGAGAAAAACACCAAATTTTAAACTTAAGTTTTAATCCATCCTGCGGTGAGCTAATTCAATAGTCAAAGCATCTGGGGGGCTACTTTATAGTGTGTCGTATTCTTTAAGGGATATCTTTGATATTTAAGATTGGAGAAGAAAATTCTTCAAATAAAAGTTATTTGCGAAATCATTCTCTATAATTTTTGTACTACACATGATTTCTCTAAAATAGACCGTAATTGAAAAATTTTAGAAAAGTAACTAATCAGATTTTAATATAAAAACATTTTTAACGAAATATAAAACCAGAAAGTTGAAAATCTACTAAAAACAAAGAATTTAAAACTACTACGTAATTGATGTATTTTTGTATTTTAACAAAAGAATGTTATTTTTTGGGACACACTGTATAAAGGCCTTTAAGACGAAAATGTCTCAATCTAATACAAAATAGGTAGGTACCTACCTTCCGGTAGTATAGTAGGGTACCTACTACACATTTAATGTTAATTTTAGTGAAAGAAAAATGTATAGACGTGTAGGAAAGTGTTAAGCCTGTGTTCTTATGGAACCACTTGTCCAAAATCTGATTCAAAATTTTTGATTATTTCGACGATTTTCTTTTTTTTTAATTAAAAAGTATCTAGATAGTATATTTTATCCAAAATCATTAATATTAAATACCTACCTAAATCATGTTTCATTCAATTCCGAGAAATGGAGATGTATTATATTATCTACAATTGTTATTTATTGTTCTTAGATTTTGTAATAGCACAGTACTGAATGTGTATTATAGGTCTACCTTGTTTTTGTTTATTCCAAATGATTATTATTTTGCCCTTCTTGTAATAAATATTGCCTACCTGTTACCGTCATGTTTGAAGCTTAATTTATACAGATTCCGATTTGCGTTATAATCAAAATTTCTCTAGTCTCCAACAGATGTCACTAGCATTAAATTATGAAATGATCTATATTTAAAAAATTACTTTTCATATATGAAGTTAACATGCAATAGAACAATTATTCTTCTTTTCACGGTAAGTTATTTTCTAATAAAAGTTGCAATAAGGTCCAATTTCGGTCGTATCATTTTAGAAAGGATATTCAATTACGTCGTAAATGTATCTAGGTTGCAGAAGGTCATGAACCTTTGGGATAGAACTGCCTTGCTGTGCTGCGATTGGCTGGAATTGACAAACAACGGCAATCCATTGGCTTGTTTCTAAGCTACCAGCTCGATATCAAATTCCTTCGTCAGAAAATCATTTGTGGTCTCCTCGCCAAAGAGAATAGTCGGTTTACTTTTACATGAAAATATGCGTAATTTCTTTAAACAAAATGTCTGTCCCCTCAACACATCAGGACAGATATAACAGTGAATGAGTGACTTTTTTCATGCCATTTCAATAATATTCCTGATAAGTGAATATTTACTTAGGTCGTAATGGCGCTCGTATGTGATATCAAAAGGTTTGCATTAATTTTTACGGCAAAATTACACGAGATACGTTTCCGAGGCCAGAAATATGTTAACTTTAACGTTGAGATCGAAAAATTTCGCGTATAATTAAAAGAAAAGCAAATCCGCCGTCAAAATTGGCAATAGCGTGGGTGGGTACACGCCCTGCGGCAGTCCCTCGAATTAGGTAGCATTATACCTTACACAGGCAAAAACAAGCTATTATCCAGCCCTAGAAAACGTTAAAATACTTTCAAAAATTTCAAAATTTGAAAATAGACCTACGTCAAGGGCTGAATTTTAGATTTTTTTGCCGACACATGCCAAGCATGACGCATAATTTTACTCATTTTGATGGAAGCTAAAGGAATTATCTAAAAAAAGTAAATTTTTGGAACAATTAATAGAAAAAAATGTTAAAATTATCGCTCCCAACTTAATATTAGCATATTTCTAAATAGGTACGTAAATAGATAATTTTGTGTACAGTAAATATAATGGCCTCCATTTTCTTAGGCTTTGGCTGTGTTCAAATATGTCAATACTTTTAGTATCTTTTTCATGGAGTTTCTTATCAGAGTTAACCGATATTTTTATCTCCACAAGCATGTTAAAGTACTATTTCCTCGAAATTTTAAATATCTTATCACAAAAATGAAATTAACCAATGTCATTGCGTTGACCTTGGTGAAAAGTAAGCAATTTTATAAATTAATTTGCATAATTACTGACCTAAGTAGGTATTTTTGCTACTCATTTGTAAACTACAAAACATTTAGGATCCAGAGTTAATGAATTCGTAAGTAAAATGAATATTAGCAACAATAACATAAATTTCAGAAACCAAGGGCGTTGTCATGTTCTCAACATGGTTCATTCATTCTTCATTGTTTGGTAAAGGCAGTTAGGTATTTGCTTTTATTTTTTATTATAATTAATTTTTATAGATTTGCTATAACTAAATCTTGCATTAATTTTTTATTACTAAAAAGTATTACTACCTAGGTAGGCACACAAATTCTGTAAACCTACCTAGATAGGTATTGTTTAGGTAGATAGGTAGGTACCTACTAGGATCTCGATTTTCACAATTTTCTTTATAAGTATAGTCCATTTTTTGTAATCAAAATACTTTATTTTATAGACATAGGTATACCTAATTACAAGTTATTTTAGTACTCTGATAAGATATTGATGTAAAACAGTAATAAAATGTTGATAAGTAAAAAAAAATACATTGTTGGCACACAGCCAAAGCTCTGACGTCACCGGACAAACACGCATCCGCTCGACCTTGAATTGTTTAGAGAAATCGATAGTGTGGTAAAAGCGCCATCTAGAACGAAATTTCATAAAAATTCAACTAAGCGGGAACATTTAAACGTGAACTGAATCTTCAAAAGTTTACTAACTTATGATTCACGCTTAGAAAGTAGGTTTTTAGGTTGTTTTAAAAGATATATTTTATTGCAGATTCTTTTTTATAAGTTTGTTAATAATTTAATTTAAATTGGTTTGCATATAAGGTGGTGGACAGGAGCAGGATAGGTATATTTAAATAAGTTTAATATATCTAGACCAACTCTGTGTTTGTTCGATTACACTTACGTACAGTGAGCGTCCAAACTATTGATTTTTTCGTTTAAAAACAATATGCATGAAATAGAGCTTAAAATTTACAGGGTATTCTGGTAAAAACGAAATAACCTAGGTAGGTAGGTATATCTTTTTTTAATTTGGAACATTCTAAAAATCTAAAAGCCTACAATTATGTTCACCAAATTAAGTGTTTTAAAGCTATAAAACCCTTTAAAAAAAGATTTTTATTTTTAAAAGGCACTGTTCAAACGAGATGTCTAGAGCTAAGGTATCTGGTTTTCTTAAACCCTTTTAATAAATAACCTTTAATACGTGATTTTTATTATCTCGTTTTAAGAAATTTAAAAATACGTTAAATGAACTCAATTACCAATAACAAATTATTTTTGATTTCCGTTTAAAAAAAAAGAAATGCGGGATTATTATTTATATCAATTTCTATACTAGCCCGAAAACTAATAAACTAATTATTAATTCCGAAAATGTTATAAATTATATTGTTTAAAAATGCATAATCATTACTTATACCTACATTTTTTTGTCGCAAAAATATTAAAATACTTAAAGCATTGAACAATAAGAAAAATATTCTTTATAAAACTATTGTGAATCATTACTCCTTTTAATTAAAAAATAATTAAAATTTATCTTCATAAATTCGTAAAAAAAGATTATATAGACAGTCAAACTAGCTTATTTATAACCAGTTATTTGAAGGTTAAAATAAAATAGGAAAGTAAATTTACTTCCCTGTAAGTTAGTAGATATATTATGCAACAAGTATCTAAATTTGGTTTAAAAATCATATATTTACACCCAGAATACCCAACCATCCATAACTGAGATAATTAAACCATCAAAAATATTAAATATTTAAAATTTTCCTTCGTTGTTAAAATCAAAAACATTGTTCAAATTTTCATTTTAAACATTTTTATAATCAATTTATTACATCATAATTAATTGCATTAACTATAGCAGATATCCTTTTCATTGATTACATTTTTATAGGTATGTACCTACACCAAAATCAAATTTGGTTTCAAATTATATGAACTTTATACATCGCCGCCAAAGTTTTGGACCCCATGAAGTTCAAAATATAAATTTTATACAAACTACTTACTTATTTTTTTTTTTTCTGACCCTATACATATTAAAGTTATGTAAGTCTAACCAGCAACATAAAACAACATATTATGATATTATATTACTTATGATTATCCTCGTATTTCAACATATTTAGAACGTTTAGACGGTCGTCCATCGTATTTACATTTAATTATTGCTTTAGGAGGTAAACAATTTCCTATTTTTATTATTACCATTACTCAAATAGGTGTATTATAATAATGATGGACTGCAAAATTAACTGTACATTCGATTTTCGTCTCGCAAATTTATCTTTCCTCGTTTTTAACTTTTTAAGAGCAAACCGAACAGCTTGAAAATTTCTAATTCCTTCCGAGTCTTTATTTTTTGTCCGATTTTTGTGAAATTTTCAGGAAATATCAATAATAACAAAACCTTGATTTTTTGTAAACCTTCGAAAGTATTTAATAATTTTTAAAAGAAATTAAAAACAAAACATTTACGCGTCATTCTGTAGTAAATCTAAGAAAATTTGTTTTCATAAATACCTATCTAGTAGTTTTTAAATGGGAGGGTTACCCACCTATTTTTTTCCTAAATGTCTCTGTAGAGTGCTGTCTTATCGTTGCACAAATTTAGAGCTCGAGACCCATAACATCGCGAAGTATTTCCAGTGGCGCGCTTATAAATACAATTTTATGTTAGAAAATCCTTACAACAATTTTGCGAGAAGTCCGGTTTATTCTTAAACAAAGATGCTTTTTGATAGCATGAAATCGAATTTGAATTAATTTTTAACACACTTCAAAAAAAGGAGGAGGTTCTCAATTCGTCGAACAGTTTTTTTTATGTATGTTCAGCGATAATTCTCTACCACGTTGTCCTATTTCTATATTTGGCTAGAACCGGGGTACCTCAGGGGTGCTCCCCTATAAATTTGGTCAAGATCTGATAATGGGATCCATGAAAAATCATCAGTCTTCATTGTTTATGTATATTCAGCGATAATTATTTACCACGTTGTGCGATTTCTATTTTTTTTTTGTTAGAAAGAAGGTACATTTGTTCAAGATCTGATGATAGGGATCTATGAGAAAATCAGCAAACTCAATTTGTGATGGCATCTGCACGATTTTTTAAAATTACTTTTTTAACTTGTTATAATTAAACATTATTAATTGATATTATTTTGATTTAAATTTTTATTCATATTTTTCTGCCAGTTAATTTTTCGGTTGAGTATATAATTTTTATAGAATAGCTGATAAAAAATACAAAATATAATCCTAAAACACAAACGAAAAAATGCTGTTATTTAAAGATTGTTTGCAGATAAAATAGGATTCCAGAACAAAAAATATGTAGGTAGTACGTAGAACGAACAAAAATTTTAAATCAAATCACCTATATAGACCAGGGTCGATAATTTTTGAAACCAAAAAAAATAATAGTAGGATGAAACCCGTTAAAAAAGGACGAGAATATAACAAAAATGAAAGGAAAAATAATTTACGGGCGATCTGAGGTCGGGAAGTGGAAGGGGTGAGTTTTTAAGGGTAAAGAACGGTGTATGTCGATTTCCGGCAAAACTACAAGTCCTATGGAAAAAAATTAAATGACAAAGTTGTAGGTAATAAAGAGACCTACAACTTTTATGATTACACTTTTTTCACATAACCTCAAAATTTATGTGAAAAATTCAAATAATCAAGTTTTTGGTTTTTTATTTTTCTTATGCAAAAAAAAATTTTTTTTCTCGAAATTTGGTGAAAACTTACCTTTTTATGTCCTAAAAACACTGTAATTTTTTTGATTTAATATATTTATTTTTTTACCTTATTTTGATTTAATATCGAAAAAAACACCCTAATTTTCAATCGAAAATTCTCGCGTCAAAATATCAGCTTTTTAAAAAAAGTCACTGAAATCTCTTCTTTCTGATAATGTAAAAAAATATATACATAACTATGGTAAATGTTCTCAGAAAATGCAAGGAAAAGAAAAAAACTCGAATCCGAATTTTTTTTTTTTTTAATCACTATGTACAATTTTGAGCTATTTAGTAAAATTGACACTTTAATTACTTGAAAAACGTCAGATTCTATGTTACATTGATAAACAAAAAAATTACAAATCCATAAATCATAAAAATTGCAAGAAACATGCAAAAATAGTTGTTCTAAATTCGGATTCGAGTTTTTTCTTTTCTTTGCATTTTCTGAGAACATTTACCATAGTAATGTATATATTTTTTTACATTATCAGAAAGAAGAGATTTCAACGAACAAAAAACTCCCCGACTTTTTTAAAAAGCTGATAT